AGATCAAGTAGAAATTTCCAACTCTATAATAATTCTAAATATCAAAAATAAATGTACGTGAATAAATCAAAGAGTCATGATAGGTAAGATACTATTCAATAAATGTCATATTATTTATGTAACTAATTATATACCTTAAGAACTTTACACATTCATAGTCTGAAATATTTTATAAGGTAAATAAGTAAACCATGTTATATTTATTAAGGTTGATTATTTAACAAAAACCATTTATGGAATTTAGTTATATTTTCATAATATCCAAGCATTCTCTTGTATTTCAGTCTTATTAGATTCACATCAAAAGAAACACGTCTTATATTGAGTACCTAATTTAACCTTTTCAAAGTAATATATACATGTAAACAAGCTTTATACAAAAAATGCTTACGTATCGATACATTACAATGTTTTCTTTTACAATTGAAATAAATACAATGATGACTTCATAGTGTTTGTTTTCATTTTGGGCTGTATATGGATTATAATAGTATATATATATATAACAAATTGTAGTAAGCAAAATCTAACTAGCCTGCCAAAATAAATGATAAAAGAAAGTTAAATACTATTTGACTGAAATGAACTATAAAAAGGAAATCAATTGTGTCAGTAGTTATGGCAAGATAAATAAATAAAAAAATCAATTCCCCGATTTCATATTATTTTATTGTCTGACAATAATGTTGTTGGAATCTAGATTAAGAAATTGTTTAATTTGTCTTATCATTGATAAATAAGTTATATTGAATTATATAGTTGTATTTGAAGATGAGATACGTCTTTTAATAGATTTGCTCCTTCTTTATATATTGTGATGAACCTCACTACAAATATATATATATATATACGTACTTAAGTCATGTCAGTTTTCTCTCTTCTCAATAAACGACTGTACAATTTGAAATTGGCAAATGTCACTTATTTCCTTCATTCATCATACATATTTACACATTATGAACTAGTAATCAAGTCTGTTTTATATAATTTAGTCAAGAATTACATTTTCAATAGATGTAATTAAAAATTTTACCACTAAATATCATTTATCTAAGTTTTGCAATTCAGTACAGTATATTAAGCTTTAGTCAATCTACTACTTTTAAATTCAATCTGTTTTACAAATATGTTATTTTTAATAGTTTTTGGATTGCAAAATAAGTAGTTTGTTCTAACCTATGGTGTTTTTTTTGTGTGTAAACGTCAACCATCTGACTTGTTCACTGCACACGTTTTACATTTTGAAGAACATAATTTGTATATAATACCTTCACATTATTTTAATTGATTGACTGAGATATGAAAAATTTTAATTGTTTTTAACAAATCCCTTAAATTCTTTTCACCATAATGTAATAATGATCTTAATCTTTTAAATGATCAAACGTTATATTCGTCAGCTGATAGCTACTGTTATGAAACACTATTTTATTATAGTAAATATGGGTTTGTTCAAGAAGTTTGTAAGAAAACAGACCTACAAAATACTGTCCTAAATGTCAACAATGGGAAAGTAGAAACCAGTAGAAACAACTAAATGTTAGTTGACTGAAAAAATTCAATTAATCTCTTCTGATAAACACCATCAAGACAATGACCAAGTATAATATAACTACAGAAAAGTCGTTCATTTTTAGGATCACAAATTATACTGCTACTAAAATGTTGAATTTATTTTATTAATCCGTTCTTCAAAAAAAATATATGCTTTCCGACGTTAGGATTACGGTATTTTATACTTTAGACGAGGATTACTAGGCGTTCAGTCAAATGTGATTAACATTACAGATATTGTTTTACCTAAAGTGATTGACGACTGAATTTTTCTTTCTGCACTGAACTGTTGATGACAGAAATTCCAACTACCTCTAAATTCAACAGAGAACTTGTTGGTCATTAGTTATGCTTTACACTCGAAAAATCGTGTTATGTATGTTAAGTCAACCAATCTTTGGAAAACTAAACGGAATAATAGGATGATCATGTAAAGAACAACCGAAAATGGAGTCCAAAATTCAGAAGGACGACAAATTTTTGAACAGTTACTTAATCAATCTGTACAATATCCATTTATTGATTCTGATAGCTACACAAACTCGTGGTTATGGAATGACTGATTAGCTTGAAAATTTCAAATCCACAACAGATCATTCATGAGATGAGTTGCTCACTAATAACATCTTCGTAAATCTTGATAACGTAAGCTAGAACTCAACTAGAGGTATCAGTTTCTTTAAGACCACAGGGTGGTATTACTGAAGAGTTATAGAATTAAGGAATTTAAATCCACTGCTTCTCATTATCTATAATTACTCACAACTATATGATTTTCTAAGATTTGCGTTGTACACAACGACGTCGTTTATCTTTTCACATGCCTTATGGGATTGAAACAAGTTGATGTAGATCCATCCTGATAATAATATCATAAAACCGTGGACAACTAAATACTTACTGAGAGATACATAGATGCTATCGCTCACTAAACTAGTACGTATTTGGAACTGCATTTAACATTTAATGAAGTAACACACTGAAATATTCACCCATCTAAGCAACTAATTAAAAAACAGTTTTTTTGAATTAATCGATCATTCTACCGCTAGGAAAACTAATTCCGCTGTATATACTGGCAACACCAAGACAATCGTTTATGAACTCAATTAATCCTACTGAATTTGTTTAAATATAAATAAACAAATTTCCACTTAGTAAATTTTTGGCAAGCTAGTTGTATATTTTTATATTAAAAATAACACTACAAAATATCTGAACAACAAACAGCGTACTTCATTAATTGAATCTTCACGTTTATTACCGAAACATTCATCTATAGTTTTATAGAATTTAAATGATGCAACTATTTAGGGGAGGAAGAATGTGTTTGTTTAGTAACTAACATAGCATCTTCTTTCGAAATACATATGTATTCTTATTTCTTAGATTTCTTGATTATTTTATGACTTGATTATAAGACAGAGACACTTGCTATTATTTAGTCCCATTTAATGGAAAGGAATATTTGATAATGAACAATTTTTTAAGTATTGGAAATACAAATAAGTATCTTATGTATTATTATAGGACGTTGTGGAAATTTCTGAAATGAAGGTTTTACATGACTGACTGATTTTATGAGGAATTGAATGGTGGCTAGCAGTGGGATCTAGGACTGGAGTTTCGTCCCATTTGATATCCGTTATCTGAATGTACCTGAATCCCAAAATTAGCGTTTGCTGTGAAGCTCACTCCCAGTACTTTTCACTTAAGACTGCTAGCCACTATTTCTGCTTAAAATTCTAGTTATTTACTGGCAATATCAAGATAATTTGCACAGGCTGCAAAAAAACACTGATCAAGTGGAGTCTTAAACATCAATGGGAAGGTCCAAACAACCAGTTTATGTTAAATAAAACTAACCGACCTTAGTCTTATGACGACTAGAAACTAGGAGGCACTAATAAGTTATTTAACTCTAACATACTGATGTCAAAATAAAGAGACAATGTGTAGGATACTGGATCTTATATCCAAGATGAGTGGTTTCATTCATAAATTGAAGATCATCCTGATCTGATGGGATAAAAAAGCGAGATCATGTTTTTTTTCTTAATTCAGTATGACAACCGTTCAGAATAATGTGTTTCATTTTCAGTGTAACAATTTGTTTAACATAAGGTTTGTCCCATATTCAGTGGGATTTTTATCCAGTATGATATTATTTGCAATAAATGAATGTGAACTATGTTCAGCAAGACATCCAGCATGCTATTTGTTATAATTCTGGACATTTTTTGTACATGTGACGTTTTTCTTATTGATAACTTAATAAGTGTACAAATCAATGTATAAACGAATGTATTTTCCGCTAAGATCGCCTTGTTTTAGAGTGGAAATATCTTCACTTGTATCAATCTTCTATGTTCTTATTTCGTTCCGTAGGAGTTGCAGTGGTTCCTCGTATTTAAGTACATATAATAACACAACGTGGACGTAGCACATTTAACTTATCTTCAGTGTTCAACCAGCACTTCCATGTGTATTAAACCCTAGACTTTTAGGTGTCGCAGAGAGGGCTTAAACTTTTGGACATTGAATTGAAATCCAATTGTTCATATTTCTAACTTCAATCAATTCTCGATGTTGTACGTCCATTAGTGATAATCATTAATGTTATTTGTCTTTCTCTCAAACATATATATATATATATATATATATATATATATATATATTCAACAATCTGAATAATTGATTACTAACTTTAACCTTCGTGCAAACATTTTGATATCTAGGTAGATATATTTACTTGTCACTGTAACAATAGTTAACCCACTGGTTCAGTTGTGAACTCTTTACTTAACATTAACGTAGAATCAAATTATTGTAAATGATGGAATAATGCAAATAAATGAGAAAAATGATTTCTTCATTCAGTTTGTATATCTTGCTGACTATTTCATTGGTTATAAATCAATGATACTACTATATGCTGAGACGGTCATAGTTGATAATCAATGAGTAGATTTTATCCAGTAAATAGTTGGACGTTAGTCTAATGTTATTTAATCCAAACAATTTATTAACTACTCAGATTGAAGAAGATATAATAAATTTCAAATTTGCATCTTATTTATTAAAAGTTGATGATTTAAACCACTAAGTTAAATTGACGTGAGAAATCTAAAACAAAACTGACATTATAGTAACTATTCCACTGGTGTGCAAATTTTCATTTAAAAAAGGAAAATAAGAGAAATTGCATTTCAAAGATCGTAAAACTACTTATCTGATATAACTGAATGAAAATCTAGTTGAATTATAACCGTTAACTTGTGACATTTAATAACTTTTTATTTTTCTATCCACTCCTGTTTAATGTCAACGATCTTTTCATTTATCCAATAAATATCTATAAAAGCCAAATATAAGACGCATTTTATAAAAGATAATTCTTTCATGTAGATTGTTAGATGCAGAATTTATAAAAATTAATCACCCCTCTATTTGAAAAAATAAATATGATTCCTTGATGATGATGGTGATGATGATGATGATGATGATGATGATGATGATGATGATGATGATGATGATGATGATGATGATGATGATGATGATGATGATGATGATGATGATGATGATGATGATGATGATGATGATGATGATGATGATGATGATGATGATGATGATGATGATGATGATGATGATGATGATGATGATGATGATGATGATGATGATGATGATGATGATGATGATGATGGCATGAACAGGTTTTTCCTCCGAATCAATTTCATTTCAATTTTGGCTTCCTTCTGTGAAAAAAAACAAACCTTCCTTCATGACTTACTTTCGTTATATAATATTCGATTTTCAAATTGATTTTTAGCTTTATAATAATTAGTAATTTCACAAAGATTAGTTGGCAACAAAATAAGGGGAATTTCTCTCAAACAATTTTAATAATTACTTTTCAATACATACTGTTTTTATAACCTCTACTCCTTAATTCTTAGTTGAACCTTTGTTGTCTTTTTTCCGTTTCATATCGATTTTTGAAGGAAAATTGCTTGTGATTAGTAGCATGTTTTTTTTGTAAAAAAATCAATTTCTTTATTATAATCTATTGACTAAGCTGTGAAATATAACTACTAAACATTACTCATGATGCTGATATATTGAAGGAGGAAGTAGACATAACATTATAATGCGTGTAATTCTCATCATTTGTTAATTGTCGTTACGAGAAGCATTCATAAATAGTGGTTCATATTTATTTAGCAAGTATCAAATAACTTATTCTGCATGTAACCAGTTAAAAATATAAGTAATGTATTGTTTCTATAGTAATTGAAGTTCATATAAAATGTTAAACACCATAAATGAATCGTCAAATGAAATGATATTGATTTTTTTGTCATCATAAAAGAGTAAATAATCTCTAATCAATTTGTACAATATAATCAGTAATCTAAGTGAAAAAGTTTATTGTTGTATATAATTGGACTTTAAAATTTATCGTCTGGATTAATGTTTGATGACTTTTAAGTGTTTTGAATAAACATGATATGTCATTGATGGAAATAAATGAATAAACAATAAATTCATGATAGTTCATGACCATTTTACAGTGTCTTCTGTAGGTAACTGCTTCATATATGACACGGGGGTTTCAAGATTTCAATTGTGGTCTAACTTTGATCGGTTAAAGATCTTAGTTAAAAACTTAACAATCTCCACAACCCTGTACCAAATAAATAATAGATTTTGATAATGTGTAACTACATCTTGCTTTATTGTGATGATCTTAGACGGTTTCAAGGGTAAGAAAAAATTTTTAGGAAATATAGTCATTTTAAAACTTTATTATAGGTGAAGTACTTTCCTTTAAAATTTGCATATTCAACGTAGATGATGTAATCCAATAGAAAAATATCCTCCGATAAATGAACATAGTGTTTCTCTAATAAATTTCAAACCTTCTTGTTAAACGTATATCAACTTTTTCATATAACAAACCTATAGTGGTAGGATGAAATGTAATATCATCAGTACTTTAGACACGTAGTAAACAATAATTTCTTGATACAATTTTTTAGTATTTAGTGGGTTGTATTCAATTCGAAAACCAAAAATTTTGTAATTATGATTTCTTTAGTTAGAACAATAACAGACAGCGTAAAATCAAGTGATTAGTAATTATCATAATAATTACTTTATTTAACATCCTGTTTGCATTTGTGTTCTGGGCTAAACGGGTCGGGCTAGATGAAAAGTGACTATAGAGATGACGAATAAAGATTCAGAGTTAACATAAGGCTGCTGGTGATGGTTGACTCATCATTGGTGTAGCATAGGGATAAGGTCATAGAAGTCGGTTTTCTGATTGGCAATTTTATCACCCGATATTTGACCGGCCATGGGACATAACGGTTGGCTTAGACAATTCTTAGTGAAAAGTATTCAAAAGTAAAACTAATAGCCGTCTAATATGCGTTCACTTTGTAAATATTAAAAATATTTATCAAATGTTTTTAACCAGGGGTTAACTGCCATTCACCCGAAAATGGTTACGGCCAGTTCTAGTCTCGTGATATCATTGATGCTTGAATTCTCAAGTCATCATATCTCGTTTCTTCAAAGGTCAGGAGAGTAAAGTAATATACTGACTAATGGAATTGTTTTTTTCTTGAATTGATACATGATAATGCATGAGCTCACTTGGTTGTCGTGTATTGGTCAAAGTTATCCATTAACACCATTGGATGCCAGCTCAGGGGTCCAGAGGTTAAGCGTTCACACAAGACCGAAGGTTTTGTGTTCGAGCTCTACCAGCAAGGCTTTGGATGCACACTGCGGAAGAGTCCCGTACTAGGACGAAACGGTCACCCAATGCTTTCAAGTTTTCAATGATGGTTTAACACTGATCGGATCATGATCTCAATAAAAACTCAATAATCTTCACAATCTGTACTGATAAGTTGTATTGTTTGATTATCTGACATCTAAGTAAACTCTTGAGTAAAACGTTTGGAATTTTAAGTGGAAAAAGGAAAACACAATTATGTTCAGAAGTATATACTTTCAAGAGAGAGAAGTAACTTTTGCACAGCTGTCAACAAAATTTTGTCTACATTAAAATTTGGCTAATTTTAAGAAAAACTCATATATATAATTCATTCAAAATGATTATGAGAATTCTTATCAGTGGTTTTATCTAATGACTAACGAAAATGTTTTCTTTGTGCTTTCAGGTTTTCCATGGTGGTTTAGCTTGAATTGACTCGTAATCTCAAGTATTGAAATTACTATAAAATCCACATAAACCCCTTTTGATAATAATCAGCATATGGTCATTAGTGACTGGCTTCAAGAGGTATTTTCTGGAGTTCTAGTAAGAAGAAGTAGCCAGTGAACTTCAACCGGTTCTGTTGTGAGATTTTATCTCACTAATGATAATGTTGGACGGGTAAGCAATTTCGCGGATTAGTTGAAGCTAGAGATTAGCACCGTTGGATGCCGACCAGCTCAGTCGTCTAGAAGTTAAGTGCTCCAGTGCGAGACTGATAGGCCCTGGATTCGAATCTCGTGAGGTTTGATCGTGGATGTGCACTGCTGAGTAGTCTCAAAGTGGGACGAAATGGTCGTCCAGTGCTTCCAAGTTTTCCATGGTGGTCTAGCTTCAACTGACTCATGATCTTATCTACTGAAATTACTATAATATGCACAAAAATCCCTTCTGATAAAGATTTAAACGTGTAAAGAATCAGAGAAAATCTTTTCTTACTTAACTCTAACCATTATTTTTCCTTGTAATAATACTGACATTCATTAGATTTTCTAAAGTCATTTTAATATCCACTTTGAAAAAAATAGAAGTCCTTTCATTGTCTTTCAACTTATTGATTTAAACTCTATAAATGAATAAAAAAACTCTATAGTTTAGTAATGACTTTACATAGAATACTTTACATTCTTTAAAACGAAATTCTAATCTATTTTACAATGTTCTAGTTAGAAGATAAGAATTACTTTTATAAACAAATGTAAAGAATAATTTACGTGGTAGAATCTATTTGGGTTTTGTACAATGTTCATCAAAAGGGGAAATATTTGTTTCCGACGCCACAACTAATCATAAATATTTCATTCAGCTTATACTTTTTTTTCTTATTGTATTAGTTATATTATTATACTTAACTAAATGATTTTCATATTAATGATGTCTACATTTTAAATGTTTTTTTTCTTACTGGACTATAGAAATCTCATGTACAATAATGTAAAACAAAACTTTTAGTGAATTCCTTGTCATAATTACAGTCTTATTTGAAAATGTTCCCATTAATATTTAAATTTAGAAATGAATATACAATTAACAATTAGATATGTAATAATCTATAAATTGATAGTTAGTTAATGTCATACAAATCATTTCATTTATATGATAAACTAAGATGAACTTGTCATTGATAATTTAATGGAATGATAAAATACAAAGATATTTCTAGAGTTGTCCTTAAAAGCAATTTACAAATCTCAAGTAAAATAGCATTTTAGAAGGCAGAACTATTGGTCATGGGTTTCTAATAAATTGCTGAGAATATAATTTATGAACGACCTTTGAGCGACGCTAACATGACCTTGAGAGTGTTCACGTGATAATTAGGACTAAATGAGGGTTATAAATCAGTGAGAGGAATTAGAATTATGATTTACAGTTGATGGTTAGGGTTGGGAATTACATTTAAGGTTTTCATCACGAACTGACATCAGTTATAATTCCATGAATCTATTCAGCTAAATGGATGAGTGAATTTTGTGTCAAAATCCGAGACGTGTTATCTTACGCCTGATTTGTTCGTTCATAAATTATAGTCTCGCCAATAAATCTATTCCAAATGTCATTGCTGATGTTTTGAGTTAGATGAATAATTTTTGCTTTGCATGTCTTTACGAACAAATCTAATTTAAATAACCAGTGAAAGCCTAGAAGCACTGGATAGCTATTTCGTCCAGGTTTAGTACTCTTCAACAATGCTCGCCCACAAGTCCGTCACACGTTGTCAAACTGAGGACCTTCGGTCATGCTTAACATTCAAACCAATAATCCATGGTTTAAAGGTGTACATGTCTAACATTATTCAGAGAAAAAAATGCAATAAACTCCACAACCCCAATACTCATGAACATAATGAACGCTGAGACCATATCTTAATTTCTAAAAAAAAACAAGTATACTGAACTCATTTCATTATCAACAACAAGATATCTTATCTAAAAAAGTTAAAACAAGCAAATGTTATTAGAGTAATGTCGACTAAGTTACTGTCTATTATTAAATAAAAGAGTCAAGAATTTAAAACATTAAAGGATTAAGATTTACGTATTACACTTTTTATGAAGAGAATGCTTGGTAAAAATAATGATTTTGTGAAATAAATCATTAGGTTACTCATTTAACTTTAAATAACTTTAAATGAACTTCATAACAATGACATGAAAAGATTTGATTAGTTCAGCGTTCATAATAGGATCTTAATTTTTTTAAACTTGTTAACTTGTATTAAAGTAACCATGGTTCTAGTTTCAGCTAAAAAACCTGTTTTGATAATCTACTTCCTTATAAATAATCATTCAATTTTACAAAAATTAATTTATCCATTATGACGTAAATTATTATGACATTATCAATATTACTGTTTGCCATCTTCGGTTTACTGGAAAAAAGTCCGGACAAATTTACTAATATTTCTCTAATGTACATATATACATAAATTTTCTTGATCGAAAAAGG